TATTTATTTATTTATTTTTTATTTATTTAATTGTTTATTTTATTTATTTATTTGGTTTATTTATTTATTTATTTGATTATTTTGTTTATTAAGGCCGCAATTAACTACTAGGTCATTTAGCGACCACTACTTGCCGTCGTAACGGAATAGTGGTAACTATAAGGGATGCACACGGATATGATGATTGTATAGGGGGTTGAAAGGAGCGAACACAATACAACCACGCCCGAGGCGTGGACTCGAACCCAGCGATCCTTCGGTCCGAGATCGCTACTGGCACTACTGCGTTACCTATCTCTGGCCACCCGGATCGGCAAGAGGCATATTTTATCGATTTGCTGTACTGTTTTGAAAAAATTCTAAGGCCTCCCACAGCCACCTACCGCGGCGCCCCCCCCCCCCTCGCGCGGTGGCCTCCTCATTGGCAGTCGGGTGCGGCCTGGCCTGTCCCGCGTTATGACGCAAGCGCAGTGCGTTGTACAAGGGAGTGGTCGCACGGAGGACTGCAACTTTAGTTGCTGCACGTCGCACACGTCGCGAGAGACGCCCTATCAATATGAACTGGGTGTTGTTGCCGGTTCGCAGAGTTATTGGCATGTGGATGTAATCTGATTTTCGCGTGATTATTCGCGAGTTACTGTTCGAGTTTGGGGTCCGTATAAGAGAGTGGAGCAACTTCTTCTACGGAGAGGACCTGATCACAAAATGGACAAAACAACCTGGCCTCTCCCAATGGAACATGGCTAAAAGTTCCAAAGGAAATTTAATGCCTTTAGATCATAAAAATGCGGAGCTTACCAACCATGAAAAAAAATGCGATTTCTGACGGGGGGGAAAAACTTACCCCGAATTTACCAATTTCCTTAGCTTTTCTTCACTACTCGACAAGACGTGATCTGGGACGAATATTAAGTTCTCTCAGCCTTTTCCATCCGGTATAGAAACTGTATGGAATTGTTGAATATTGACGTTTTGACTTGTCAGTTCATGATTTCTATTTGGGCCCTTTAAGTTTTTAACAACCTATTTAAGTATTGTGTGATTTACCTAATAGACACTATGAATATCATTTTTTGAATTGAATTGAATTGAATTGGCCTTATTTGACGGGGCGAGAATCAGGGGCCATTAGGCGCCGCGTCGTTCCTTCTGACCACGCAAATTGTTTCGCTACGTCCTTTCACCAACCAACAAGAAAGGGAGGTATTTCTTTGGGCGAGATATGGGCAATTTGAGATGTTAGCTCAGAGGCGTCACTAGGATCTTTAGCATGCAAGTAAATCTACTAACCTGGGGGCAGCGGCGTTTACTCCCCATCCGAAAGGCGAAGCATACGAAGGATTTTTTCGCCCTTAAAAAAATCCACGGCTTCGATCGGGGATTTGACCCGCCAACTTGGGGTAGCAGACAGTCCCAGTACGCTGAAGCCGTGCACACCATCGCCGCCGCAAAACACCATCGCCGGCCGCCGATGGTTACATTTTAGTCATTAAGCATACATTTAGTATTTAGGTTTTTAGTTGCTATAAGTTGCATAAAGAACCTATATTTAAATGCATATTTTGATAGTGTATTTAGTGTAAGAACACCACAATAGTCTGTTAAAAAACTAAAAGGGCGCCAAATAAAACAATCAAGAAACTGTTTGAAGGCTGATGAAATGCGGAGCATCTAGATATTGGCATTGAACCGTTAAATATCGTTTCATAATGAGAGCTAAACCTCAACCGCAGGCCCGTTTTTCGTTCGATTTAATTATCTTTGTAATCGAAAGATATTATGACATAGAAAATTCGATGCAGCGTTCTCACTGTTAGCAAAATAGAATAGTAGCAAAAATCGTAATTGTTGTTGTTTATGAAAAGCCGAAACCTAAACGAAAGATATCTGTAACCAGGAGAATTAATTCGGATTATCACTTTTAAACAGGTGATGTTTTGCAATGAATTACGTTTGTATGTAGATCATTAAGGTAAGCCAACCAATACAACAACACGTAGATTTGTAGCTGCGTATTACAATAGATATGACAGTACAACGCTAATCCGATGATTAGTAGAATGAAATGAGTATAATAAAAGAATCAACGGAAATTTCTTAATGTAAGTCATATCGCTTAAAATAAATCTCGCTTTAAATAGTAGTGGCGGATTAACAAAGTGACTACGAAGAATCATTGAGTTAAAGGAACTGCGATAAAGAATTGCAGTTTTACACTTTAAAACTTAACTTTAACTTTAAAAATATTTAACTTTAGAAATATTTTAACGTAAATAATACGGGAATACAACAAGAAATAAATGATGCTTTTTAAAGGAATGATTGATCAGCTGGTGTACTTAAAAGTGATGAATACTACTGAATGGCGTCATCTTTTGCCAGTCTTTGAGAGAAAGTAAAACAGAAATAGAAGTCGAGACTTGTAGAAGTTGGACTATTGTCCTTAAATATATTGTTTTTGGCTGTAGTATACGTTATTGGGTCCATCTGATAGTGAATTACGCGTTGATCTTAAAGTACTATAATTGTCTTTTCTCAAGAGGGACTGTTTGAAATATCTTTCTTTATTACTCTGTCATCGTGAAGGAAAGCAAGAAAAGCATGAAAGCTCAGGTGGAATTGGCAGTTGTTCGGGTGAGAATTACCGCCATGTATTCCAAGGCTCGAATCTCAGAAACACGTCACAAGCGTTCGTGCTTCGCAAAACCTGTAATTTCAATGCGGTCGACACGCATGTCGCCTTACTACGGCAAGCGGTTCCAGATAATAAGACTAGTAATGACGATTGCAATGATAATTGGCAAGACGTGTGTGTATAAATTATTAATAAGATGTAAATTTGTCGAATGAGAGATGTGAGAGGTATGAAACCAACAAACCAGACTTTTGTCCAACACATTTTTCCTCAGAGAATTCAGCAGGAGTTTCAAACTCCAATTCCCAAGAGACGAATGGGTAGCGGCCCTAATTTCGGTAGTAAATACGTGGTTACCGCCTTGTTTACCGCTTTCACAATTATGTTTCCAACAGAACCGTGTCCAACACTTTCCGAGAGTTGAAGGGGATTTTTGCTGTTCACTCCTTCTGGTCGAGGACCAGATTATTCCTGCTTTGATGCTCCCAGGACGCCATTCATCCGACGAGGGGCCCAAACACAAGCCACCCTCTTTCCCTGCCGATAATTGAACCCGAACGCATGTTGACCGAGTGGTTGTACTGCCAGCCCTCCCGGCACATATCGAGGTGCGAACCCAGGCGGCGTTCCTTTCCCACGGGAAAAGAAAAGAAAAAAAAGAAAAGACTGCTCCCTGATAACCGCTGGCACGGCGGGGAATCGATTAGCGGCTCCGTTCAACACGTCGCACGCGGCACGGCTTCCGTCTAGCGATAGGGCTTTTCCGCGCCGGCGCACCGCTTGCAGCCACGGCGCTTGCCACCGCAGCCGCCGTGGGTGGGTCTGCGGGAAGGTTCGGCCGCCCTCCGTTCGATATCGAATAAAAGGACCGCAGCAGGTAAACCACAGCGACCGGCGGCACACTGGGAAGGCGTCCCATTTAAAGCGTGTGTCACTGCTAGTTCGTTGCGCGTATGCCCTCCTCTGCTGTCGCGGTGGCGGGGTTCGGCACACGTGGGCCTGCCGCAGCAGCGCCATCCGCTTCACGTGGAAGGCCTCCATTCAAACCGAGATTGCTCTGCTACGCGCCAGCGCATTGCTTGAAAGCGCACTGCCGTCGCGAAATGGGAAGGGGCCTAAGCGGGCGCCTTTCCACGTTCGCGACGGCCGCGCCGTTTTCCCGGAGCTCCGCGGGGCAGTCGACGCGAAGCACACGCCACGCGAGGCAAGCCGCTAGCAGTAACACAGCTTTAAAATAGGAGCCTTGCCACTGGTTTACGCCACGGCGGACAGCGTTCTACCTGCTCCGGTCCGTTTGTTCGTCGTCGCCGGAGGGTCGGCGCGAAACCTACCCCTCCAACACCACCCCTTCCACGGCGGGCGT